AAGCAAAGATCCTCTTCGGATTTCTTTCGGTTAGCGAAAACAGGTACTTATGTCGGTCTTCTGTGTAAATGAAGTGGTGTAAAGTGAACTTTCAGAAAGTGAGGGATACCTGTATTCTAGTTGGACAAAAATATGCAGGATGAAAACGGGGTGATTTCATTGGCCTCTCTGCCAATAAAAAATTTTATGTGCCTCGCGGTGATGATGTAGGCTATAAAAACAATTCATAGATAGACTGATTTTCTTTTTTTTTTTTTTTAAGATTTTATTTATTTATTTGAGAGAGAGCACATTTGAGAGAGAGCACATGAGAGGGGGTAGGGTCAGAGGGAGAAGCAGACTCCCTGCCGAGCAGGGAGCCCGATGCGGGACTCGATCCAGGGACTCGATCCAGGGACTCCAGGATCATGACCTGAGCCGAAGGCAGTCGCTTAACCAACTGAGCCACCCAGGCGCCCCGATAGACTGATTTTCAATAGTCCTGTCCATTTCTTTCTACGAACGTGTACCAAACGCCCATTAAGTGTGAGTACTAGAGTTACACAGTTCAATGAGACTGCTTCTAGGTAGTTACTTAGAGGAGAGGCAGATTTATAAGTAAAGAACTATAATCCTGGGCAATGAGTGCCATACTTAAGTGCAACCAAAGCACAGAAAAAATGAGGTATCCCTTCTTCCAAGTGTTTGCAGTCCTAAGCTATGGGTAGAAAACTAGACTTGAGTTTGAGGGAGTTAAAATTCTTGAGCAGTCCAGTGAAGTAGACATACAGGTATGAATTTAGGAGCAACCTCACATGTCACTGTATCACAGAGCCAATGGATGCCCATTCTAGACCTTGTTCTAGCTTGGGGTGAATTTTTAATGACACTAAGCCAGCTGAGCTAGAGGTTGCCAAACTTTCCAGGCCACCTGCTGATCCTTTAGTAGTGGTGGGAGGAAGCTGTTAGCTCATCATCCTGCTGCAATTCCCGCCCCCACCCCCTAACCACTGTTTGTAGGCTAGCTCCCAGCCTAAGAGCTCCCTGGATAAAGCCAGTCCAGAGCAGTGCCTGGCTGGCTCAGTCGGTAGAGCACGTAACTCTTGATCTTAGGGTTGTAAGTTCAAGCCCCACGATGGGTATAAAAATTACTTAAAACAAACAAAAACCCCCCACCCAGTCCAGAGATTGAAAGTAGGATCATGTTGTGTAGGAATAGAATTGTTCCTCACTGCCTCAGTCAACTGGCTTTGTGAAATCTGAAGAGTCGGTCATTCCTGGTCCTTTGATAATTTCCTAGTATTACAGACGTGACTGTATTGTTATTCATGCTCACCATGAACTATAATACATAGCATCTTTGTCTTCAACAAAGGGTGTGGCTTCAAGTTGAGCCAATTGTATTAAGTGGCAATAATGGCCACCTTTAGTGTAACCAATAGCTATCCCATAAACAGGTGATGGTGAAGAGTCTGGCAAAAAAAAGAGAAGCAAAAAGGTAACTGATGGTTCCTTTTTCTGTGTCAACTTGGCGAGGCCACAGGATCCAGAGATTTGGTCAAATACTAGTCTAAATGTCACTGTGAAGCTATTTTCTAGATGATACTAACATTTAACTCAGCAGACTTTGAGTAAAGCAGATTTGCTTTATTTATGTGGGTGGGCCTCATCTAATAAGTTGAAGGCCTTAAGAGACAAAAGACCAAGGTTTCCAGAAGAAGACAAAATTCTGCCAGCAGACTGCCTTTGGACTCAAGCTGCAACATCACCTTTGCTCTGGGTCTCCAGCCCGCCAGCCTGCCCTGCAGATTCCGGACTTGCCAGCTTCCAAAATTATGTGAGCCAATTCCTTAAATGAATTTCTCTATCTATATACAGATCCTATTGGTTCTGCTTCTCTGGAGAACCCTGACTAATGCAGTAACACACCACAATTTGGAAAAAGTAGGGTAAGAGATGGTAGTTGGGGAGGGGCTTAGAAGAATGTGACTTATTCTGCTCAATTGCAGGGGCTACAGATGTCTTATGAGTTCTTCTGCTCTTTAATTGGCTGGGCCCCTAATGAATTTGTCTTCTCCCAGCTGCCTGGGGACTCCTTTGGTCACCACACTCCCCATTCTCTTCCTTTTTCCTATATCCATTTAATTTCATTTAAATTCAAATATATGCACCTCCTGAATATGTTATAGATGTGTTGATAAGATTTCATAAAGAGCTACCATTGGGGAATGCATGAAATAACTTACAAAAACCTTTCCTTGTTGTTTTTGGATGAAGAACTGGGTGAAGGAAACAGGTGTTATGAGAGAGAGGAAGTCTTCTGGATCTTGTGTTGCAATCTCTGTACTTTTCCTATTAGAAAGCTTTTTACGTTCAGGATCTGCTACCCTCAGGTCTAGAATTTTCTTGTATTCCATGGGGATTTTGAGAATCACATTCCTGAGAGAAATGTACTTTCCTGATGGTTCTAGAGCAATCTGTAAAGCCAGAATCTCAAGCACCGTTCGTGATACTCCCTGGGAGAAATGAAGACCAGAAGAGGACCAACAATGAGAGGCAGACACAGTTTCCTGGGATACAAGTGAGGGGAGCTGGAGGTACATTAGACCAACCCCATGTAGTTTCTGCATTAAAGAGCTTTATTGACAATTCCAGAAAGAATGAAATGTAAAAGATATCCATTAATTGTTGTCAAAACACATTTTTGGAGTTGGATTTCAGCCATGCCCCTATGCCTGTCCATGAGATTCCTAGCGAGCCTGTCCATGGGCTGTATTAGGGAGAGTTCGAGACAGACTACAGCAGTCCTAGGAACGATCGCTTCCTACTTCTCTGCTTTCAATTTCCTAACTTCAAATGTGAGCTGTCTGTTCCAACACATAGCTTGCAGTCAGCAGTCTCAGTTACACATAACTCACCAAAAGCAGATGTGCATAATAAATCTTTGTTTTTCTGTAACTGTAATTTTTAGTTTGGGACCCCATCCACATAAGTGGGAGAAATTTAATTGCAGCCAATTGAGGATTCCCATCTTTTACCCTTAAGCTTGTGCCTAAGCTTAATAGCCCAAGGCCCCCATCTGGTCCCAATGGTATCTGTCCTCACTGACATCCTCTGAAACAACCATCCTTCTGTCCGATCCTTGGTTGTCCTTCTATGCAGCCCACTATGGAGACGTTCTTATTCTTATCCACATGGCCCTTTAAGTCTGGTGGCTTTCTCTGATACTTCCGTGCCGCTCTTGTCTCAAAGGAGTTATTCTCTTCCTCTGAAGACATGCTTTCCTTTGTAGAGTGTTCTTGTTTCCTTGTCAGTCTAGTCAGGAAACAGGCCCATTTGATTTTGGATTCCACAGACTATCTGCAGGATCCCAGGGAGCAAGTGAGGAATTGATCCTACCTACCATTTTTAACTTTCCCTCTGAACACTTATCCTACCCTCAGAGGGTGGGAATGACTTGTTGAAATCACAAAAAGCATCCTCCCAAGTCCTTTGTCTATACCACTTGTCTTTCTGACCCTTTCTATTAGCGCAGAGTGGGGCAAAGACCAATCCTGAGTGGGCAAGGAAATGCTGAGGGGAAAACTGGTGTCTCAAAAACATAATACTGCATCATCCTTCAGTTGAGAGGGAGATCGTGGGAACACAGAGAGTAAGTTGTCTTTTTTTTTTTTTTTTAAAATTTTATTTATTTATTTGACAGAGAGAGACACAGCGAGAGAGGGAACACAAGCAAGGGGAGTGGGAGAGGGAGAAGCAGGCTTCCCGCGGAGCAGGGAGCCCGATGCGGGGCTTGATCCCAGGACCCTGAGATCATGACCTGAGCCGAAGGCAGACGCTTAACGACTGAGCCACCCAGGCACCCCGCGAGAGTAAGTTGTCTTTAAAGAGAAGTTATCCCAAGGAAAGAAGGAAAAAGAGAAAGAATCGAGAGATGGGTTGGGAACATTAGTTTATCAGGAAACAGGTGACCATTCTTAGCCTTTTACCCTACTCCTTGAGTTTGCTTGATGGGAGTTTTCAGGAGTGAGATATGTTACTATTTTGCTACTTTATATCTAATTATCAAATATGTCAGATTTCTAGCACATAAGTGGATTTTGTAACTCAATGAATTTTTTTATTAAATGAATGAACGATAAAAAGCCATGGTCATAACTGGATATATGAAATCAGCACAAGGTTAGATGAGCAGGAAGAGCTTCACAAACATTACTGTTTGAGGGATGTCTGGGTAGCTCAGTCGTTAAGCGTCTGCCTTCAGCTCAGGTCATGATCCCGTGTTCCTGGGATCGAGCCCCATGTCAGGTTCCTGCTCTGCGGGAGGCCTGCTTCTCCCTCTGCCTCTGCTCCTCCCCGCTCGTGCTCGTGCTCTCTGTTTCTCTCGCTCAAATAAATAAATAAAATCTTT